CTCTGATTTAGAAAATAGGGAGTTTCTCAGCGAGAAAAAGGAATTTCTAAAAGTTCTCTTCGTAACTTTGGAGCTGGACTTCTAGCGGTTCTGACAAGGTGCAAATATTTGGTCTACCCTCTCTACACAAACCTGTGTTAGGTCTGCAAAATTCGGTTTGGATTTTTAACTCAAACACATTTTGGCCTACGCGAGAATTTGGCTTTTGGATTTAAGGACTTGCGAACATCATTCCTAGAACCAGCTTTTTATAAGGAATCTAAAAATATTAGCCCAAGAGTTACACGACTAAAGCGAAAAAAGTTATGGTGTTTTTTCTGAAAACAAAAACTTTTTGGGTTTTTGCGACCTTCTCCGTAATCGGAGTTTTTCTCCATGAAGATGCGGTTGAAAAGAAGTCAAAAGGTGATATTTGTGATCAGCTCGACAAGACGAATCAGAATATGTATAATTAAGTCAAAAACAAATTTTGATCGAAGTTTGAATTACGAGCACCTTATATTTTAGATTCCTGCTAGTTAAAGCTAGCCATTTAGTCACTGATCACAAGCAAAAGCATATCTTTTAATATTATCTCTTTCTTTCACCCAGCTACAGCTCTTTTACCAGTTCTTATCACAGAAACTGGTGGTAAATTCTAGTTCGTAAGAAAAGAATTGGCGATCAGCTCCAGTTCCTTCCTCAGGAACAGGTGGTCCGATACAGTTCTTTTCATATGAACTAGAATCGACGCACTAGTTCCCGTTCCTAGAGCTGAGACGGAACTGTCACATGCCTACTCGTCGTAAAACCATGGATGATAAGACGTACCATCCGTCTAACACCTTCACACCAGAGATGTCCGTCGCGGTTAGTAATCAGCCGCTGCCGCGACGCGATGGAAAGCAACTTAGATGGCTGCTCTCCATTTGCATAACTCATATAATAAAAAAGATAGCTACGTTTCCTACATGTCAGTCGTTTTTTTCGGTTTTCTCATGAGTGTATAGTCAGTTGTATTGTATTATATTAACATTAGCTTGGGCTATTTGTACTTATTGATAGGTATTATCATTTCGAGCTGTCATCCCATGTGCTCTGACTCTTTTATAGAACAGACAGAGCAAACTGACCGTTTGTCTTTCCCCGCCACTCGGTTTCATCTGTTCTGTGACCGCAGGGTTAATCACCAGCAAAACTCAGTTTCGTTCGATCAATGTTGAAACCACTGGGTCGAATATTCCAATGCCTGTCGGGAATGTGGTCGCTTTATTTAGTCCTGCTCTATTCGTACCCGTTCTCTCTTTGATCAAACCCGATAAAACGCCCTACGATTTTGCTTCGATGAAAGAAATCGAACGAGTCGATGATGGCTCAAAAACCGTTCCCAATCCGACTCCCGATTAGGTGGAACGTGAAATTACTCTGCTGACACGGAATTGAAGATTTGCACGCATCACAGCTGTCGTGCTCACATTGTGTCTTATCATTCTATGGCCATGGCCCATGTGAAAATGTATGTCGATTTCACGAGAAGTGATCGAGGTAACACTGAGGGCCACGAGGATCAGACACACAATGGGACAAAAAATACTGGAATTCCGAAAACTTACAATCAGGACGAGGCTACTCACAGTACGGAGATGAACAATGGGCGGAGTTCAGCGTCGAAAAAGGACGCGACACTATTTTACAATTTTATCTGTGACTTAGCGTGAGCTTTTTGAACTACTAATAAATACATTCATCATTTTTGCTCAATTATTTCTGACAACATCTGAAATTCGTGTTTTTTCTTTTCAGGATTTTTAGACAAGATGTTTTTATCAGTTTGGATTCGTAGAAAGATCTCTTTTTAAATATTGTGTAGGTGATAAACGATCGAGTCATTTTCGGGTAACACAGACATGAAGCTTGCTGATAATGAAGTTCGCTTAAAAAATCCAGACCTACCTGAAATTTTGTGCTGATCAGCACTTCTTTTACATTTTGTCTTCATAGAAATGTACTGGACTTGAAGGTAAAATTTAAAAAACCTTATTTTGGAACCAATGGTGAACACAACTAGTTAGCAAACCACAGACTCTGTCAATCGAAAGCATAAACCAGAACGCTCTGATCCATTAACTTTGTTGGATCTGTCATTTTTCTCAAAGAAAACAGTGTCTGTATAACCAGATGGGAAGCATATTGAGGGCGATCTGAGCATAAAAGCATCCGTCTGCCTCTGCCTCCGAGGTCGTGCACAATTTCAGTTCGCTGCGAACTCATTTTTCTAGAGCTTTTTTGTTTTGCTGGATGTCTTAGGTATCTAAGGTATCTTCGAAATTTAGGATATCGTGCAACTACTTTTCGAACTCACTCTCAACCTCACCTCTCCTTCCCATCCCCCCGCATGCGAATAACCTAGTACATACGTCTGGTACATATATATAGAATATAATTCGCTGCGAACTGAAAATGTGACCACTAGATTTGAGTTCGCAGCAAACTGATATTGTACATAGTATGCTGCCTCCACTTACATAAAAACTGTCACTATCAATTTAGTATGCAAGCACTTGAACTCGCTCTCGGTGCTCTGCTTGGCTCGGAGTCTTCGGTTGTCCTCGTCCTCGACATCTGCCTAGTCGTCCTCCTCTTCTCTTCAGTATTGAATATATTATTCTCCATAATGCTCAGTCTCTGAAGTGTGATCAAAGAATGTGTGTTCAAAACACGTAGCAACATATCTCTACAGCTTGTTGTCAAATGACAAATTTTTTTGAGCTACGGAGACAAAATGATGAATTAGTAGATGAAAAACCACGAAAAATGTAAAATGAAGAAAATATTTAAGGAAGATTTCTTCACTTGATATCATATGGTACTGTGAATGAACTTGCAACTTCTGAAGCTCTCTCCCGTATAAAAATGAAAAACAAAAAGTGTACACATATTTTGCAGCATCTAATATGAGTAAGTAGGTAAGTATTTCTGTATAAAACAAGAACAGTACAACACAAACTTAAAACTTGCTGATTTGCAACTTGCACTTGCGAGAGAATGGTCAGTAGTATTATTTATGCCACCGCTTTTGAACTACGGCTAACAAAAATTCAAAAATATTGAACTTATCATTTTCTTCATCAAAAATCCCCTTGAGATATGGCCAAAGTTTCTAGGCAGTAGGTCACTAAAAGAGGAGAAAAAGGCACATTCATTCTGTATCATCGACAAAAGAAAAGAAGTGCTGATAAGACTATCTCTACAGTAAACAATGTATGCGTGATACTTACAGTCATCAGCTACATTTGAAACAACTACAGGCTATTCTTGGATTACAAGAGTGAGGCAGCATTCATGTTTTCACAATCTCGATTTCTACTTCTTCTGCTTCTGTTCTACGTATCTGACTGTGTACAACAAGAAGGTAGACGATTTGATGCATCTCTGCTGGAGCAGGACAGCAATTATGAAATATATCATTCCTATCGAAATGCTGCCAGTCTCTATTGGAATCCTCAAACCCTCGAATACATAATTATACGTGATGGTCAAGTGTGGCTGGAAGGTGGGCCGTTCTTTATCCATTTCAATTATACGTTTTATTCATCAGCACCTGAACAAGAGTCTCTTAAAATGCTACCACTACAGTTAATTGATCAATACCAATCGAATGGAACTGATACCTTTTTTGGACCCTTTCTGAAATTATCTCTTCGTTGGTCATCAACATTGAGTCCGTATTATTTCATATGGGAAACGTCATTCAAAATTTTTCAAGAACAATCTATAATTCTGTTTGAACAATATTTTCCTATCGATCTCTTTGGCGTGGAATTGGGCAATAAAAGAGATACCTTTAAACATGTGTCATCCGCATTTCCAAGATTCAAAGTTTCACTAAACGACAGTGACAACTATCTGATTGATACGTTGGGTCATTTCACATTTCTCGATACTTGGGATTTGAATATGCGTGGAGTAGGCTTGAAGAACGTGTTCACTGGCGGATTGTACAGTGGTAATCCTCTGTTGCTGTACAATTTACAACAACTGGATCAAAGTATTGTTCTATCGTCGTTGAATAATTTTATGAGTAATTTTCAAACCCGTTCACCTTCTCTGCAATATCACTTTGCCTGTGGACTACAAGGACGTGTACGGCAAGTTGAACAATCGTTTTCATTGGCAACACTCCTACTGATATCACAACCCAACGAAGGTATCAATCGTATAATGAATAAATGGGGCAAATATATGCTACAGTACTACGGGAAACAACATGTCAAAGACGAAGGCAATCATCAAAATGACTTTTTCATGTCAAAATTAGGCTATTATACAGATACGGGCTCCTATTATTGGTATAACACTGAACCGGATTTGAATTATGAAGAGACATTTATTAAATTGAAACAATATCACGTGGCACAACAGATTCCTATACAATACTATGAATTAGACTCCTATTGGTATTATAAGGAAAATAATTATACCGGAGAACATGGCGGCATTCTCTGGTACGAGCCTCGACCAGATGTGTTTCCAAGTGGGATTGAACAGTTACGAATGAATACATTACAAACCCCGTTGATTGTTCACCATAAATATTATTCCTATGATAATTTGTATCAGATATTCTATCGATTTTTGAACGGAAGCGATTATAAAGTTTCATTGCCGTTGGATCAGACATTTTTCAACAAGATTCTCTCACAAATCAAACAATGGGGCGTAGAAATCATGATACAAGATTGGCTCTCATCCATCTACGAAGATATGCCAGAAGCATCTTGGGATACTTACACGGCAAGAGAGTATCATTTACACTTGGCAGGAGGAGCAAAACAGGCGGGTATTAAACTATTGTATTGTATGCCATTGATACCAGATATAATGGAAACTCTAGAAAATTCTCAGGTCAAATACATTCGAATCAGTAATGATTATTCTACGGATATTAATCAATGGGATATTGGTCGAGCATCAATTGTCACATGGGCTTTGGGCATTATTCCCTTTAAAGATACATTCTGGACAATGTCGATGCAACCACAATCGCCATATGGAAAATTCATCGAACCCAATGTGGAGTTAAATGCTTTGATTGCTCTTATGAGTTTGGGTAAGATATTTAGGATGACTAGGTGATTTTTTTGCTGTATATTTTGGTTTTCTCAAAACGCAAACTTTTCCGATAGATGGTTGACTTTTGAAATTTACAGTATGCTATTAGAGTAACGCGCTTGAAGACTGTCTCCTATATAAGAGGACTCTGATTCGACCATCAATTACACAAAACTCATCCAAAAAATCGCTTTCGGACAAGCCGGAAGGATGCATCTTTATGTTTATAGGTGGTGTTGCTATATCGGATAAAATTGGCAATACAAATTCCACTGTTGTTAATCGGCTATGTCGATCGGACGGTGTCCTCTTTCGTCCAAGAAAACCAGCAACATCAATGGATTCGACATTTTTTGGTGTCGGTGGTCCTGATGGGGAATTGTGGCATACGTACGGTTCTGATCTGCAACAAACCTATTTTGTTGAATATGTTATGGCTACCAATTTAACTCAATCGTACGAATTCGCATGGAATGAGTTGCTAAATACTGTTGATGAAGATACGCCGAGAAGAACGATTTCCGATGTTTATATTGTATTCAGTTTAAACAATCTAACAGATTACTATTGGATTACATCCACAAACCCTTTCACATTTCTGATACCATCATGTCCACAAAATTTAACAACATATTATTCTCCGTTTCACCTATTCGTATTTGTACCTGCTCAAAAGGAATCGAAGTGGATTCTATTTGGTGAATTGGCTAAACAATTGCCTATCACACAACAACGATTTTCAAGTGTACAATTTTCATCAAGGCCTGCCGATAGTCTGCAAGTGGACGTGATCGGAATTGATGGAGAAGAGGTATTGGTCACTGTAGGATTTAGTTCGCAAGTGCTTGGTAGAATCGATATAATCACCGTACAATGTTCATTTCGTACTATGCAGCCTACAACGATCATGACCATGTCATGTAATGTAAGCAATGGATGTCAATGCCAATAGTCTGAAGCAACATATCCCATGATACTTCAAAAAACATTATCTCCAGTAGAGCGGTCGCCAAAAACGCATTGTTCCTTTTATTTTTAAATAAAACATATACCATATTTTTTCTCCTAAAGGTTCAGTTCCGCTTCTTCCCAGGTGTGATAACGGCATTGTTTTCTGACAGTGCGCTTTGTGAGATAGATACTTTTCGGTCCGGTTAGTCAGATGGCCTTGCTCTGCCAGTTGGTGGTACAGTGATTAAAAATGAGTGCTTATTTACTGTACTATCAGATATCAATCAGTACGAGCTTGTTTGACTTGACTGTACGTTCTAAAAGAGAAGAGAAAAACAAAAAATATCAAGACTGCAGTTTCTTCTGTGACACTCGTTATTCACGTATGGTCAATGAAACGTAGCTACAAAAAGGAAAAGTTTTCATGTATTACCATCCTCTTTAAATGAATGTTATTATTATTACTTTTTAAAATTTGTTTACCTGTTTACAAGAAAAATAAAATTATTTGGTCTACAAAGTCAGATAGTTTAGAATAGTTTTTTTCAAAATAAGATCTCTCCCAACTCTAAAAAGTGCTTAATCAAAATACTATAGTGATTCTTTAAGAACTCTAAAAAATAAGACACCGGCAATTCTCTGTGTGTGCCTCAGAATGACTTTTATCAGCTATGGCCGGCTATTGAACCACTAAACCGGGGTTCCTATCAGAAGGAGTCGTTCAATAAGTAAGAAACTATTCTAGAACTAGAATAAGTTTGTTTTGGTTTTCAACACTATCATCTTTCTCATAGATGGAGAAATGTTTAAAATGTGATGACCGAAAGACCGTCTTGTGGAACAAGGAACGTTTTTGGCTTACAATATGCACAGAACTCCTTCTTGCACATGCTTTTGTCACCATTGCTATTGTTGTTTGTTGACCCAATAACTATTTTAATGGATAAAGAAAAGCATTCTCAACAAAAAGTTTTCCTTAAAATAAATACGTAAAGGGAACCAACGGTAAAAATTCTCTAAAAACACGTTTTTGATGAAAAAACCTTTATCTTATACATCGAAGAACAGTTTGACCAGCTGGTTCCGAATATATTACGTTTATCTATTACAATAGCATCTTAACAGAAAAAATAGATTTTAGTGAAAAACCAATGGTTTCCAGAAACCTGATTTAATTTCAAGGAATTATCGTGCTAGTTTATGCTCATTGTATCGATGTAGCTCACAGCGAGGACTATTTGGCAAGCAAGTCCGAACGCTATTGAGACTTTGTTAAACTTTGCGTATTTATTGCATCGGGAAAGCAGTTTCCGGAAATAGTGTTAGAGTTGAAAATTAATCTTTTGCGCTTGAATTTAAGTTGCGTTTGGGTAATTTTCCAACAAATCTTTTCTATTGATGAAATATTACTTTTGTCGTATTTAAATCACTGTAGGACTTCACCTTTTAACCGATATTATATTATACTAAATTTATTTTCATCAGGAATATCAGCAGTATGGGATTGTGTTTCGATATCTTCAATCTATTTCCTAACGTTTTCTTTTCCTCCTAAGAATGTTTTAGGACTTTTTATCATATTTTCAAGTACTGCTTGTCGAAGGTCAGTTGCTGTATTATTTATATGGAAATGAACACGAAAGAACGTAATCAGATGATTTACCTAGCGCACTAGATGTCGAAGTATTTGGATGATGAAGAGATGTAGAAAAGAAAATATTATCAAAGAAAGTATTTTTGACTGTAGTTGGAACAGAAAAGGCATTTGTTAAGTCAAAAACATCTAAGAGAGAAGAAAGACCTGCACACGTTATTTTTTTAACAGTTTTGACCTTGAAATCTTATATAAGTGTTATAGAAAAATCTTTCTTTATATGTGATAGCAGAAAACTCTGAACATCATCAAAGAATATCGGCCACCTTCGAGGACGACGAAGTATCACATAAATAGAAAACACGTGTATTGAGAGTTAGGGAAAGAAGAATAGACTCTGTGTCAGACGACAATGCGAGAAAGAAGTGTTTGACGTCACTTCTCACATAAATTGCAACGCCTTCTCTCTTCGTCTTATTGTCACAACGATTTTTTTACAAGGAATTTATTTTTATCTGGTGGAAAGTGAAGAAGTCCTTTCGCCTTTTCTATTGTTACAAAGTTGAACTAAATGTTTTTTTTGAAGTATGGCTAAGTCAGAAGGTATTTTGAAAAATCAAATTCGAAAGTGAATGCTTCAAGATTATCATCAACTGTTGATCTAACGGTATCCACCTATATTTTTCAATGTATGTGATGAAACATCACGCTTGTACTTACAGAGGATGTGTGTCCGAGAAATACTAACGCTATGATCAGTTCGTTGCTAGAGCCGAGAGCTAATCTAGCATCCTGTGAATGAGGTGCTCTGGAACTATGCCGCTATCCTCTGTGCGTCAAACAGGACCGAACTGATCTTCGTACATCCTGTAAGTCACCAACAACAAAGCGATATTAGACCGAGGAAACTCATAGAGATAATCAACCATTTGGTGCATTTCTCACTTTAGTGCATTTATTTTGAGATCTTTTAACACGGTCCACATGCTAATTGAACCTGTATAGGCGAATCTCTTAGATTTTGTGCATTTTCTGACAAAGGTAACCCAGTTTTTGACTTTCAAAACTGTTAGGAGAAAAACGGCTCAACTTTGTAACAAATGTAGCAAAAACGAAAGGGCTTATTTTTTTCTGCTTCTACACACTGAAATTGCTGTGTACTTACTACAATTTTAGTTATATATTATTTAATATTTCAAACTTATATATTCAAACAAAAAATTAAAAAAAGCAGTGCATGGCTGCAATAGACTACACGATAAAGTGATCTTAACACTGCGATAACAAAAGAGAAATGACTATTAAAAGAAAATATACACGTTGTGTATACAATAGGTTAAAGATAAAAGATGTGAACAACGTAACCATGAGCACAACACACACACACGCGGCCTGTTCTTTTCTTTTTCTCACTATGTAAGTGTTATATAAGTTCAGAAAGATAACATAAAGCACAGAACAATCAAGACTCGCACCGCGACGTTTTAAAACTCCTCTACTTAGACCGCAACTCAGCGATAAAAATTGCGACGCGACTACGCAAGTCTTTTGAAGAAAAGCTTGTTACAGCAAGAGTCGTAGCGCGACTAAGCAGAGTACGTCTGCTAAAATTCGCGATCATAAGAGTCGCGCTGCGATATGGCGAACTCACCACGACTCTTAAAAACTCCTCTTCTCTCTAGATAAGAATTTTTCAAGAACCCGCTGCGACTTCGCGACTCAATAGCGATCACGTCGCGAGTGATGGGAGTTCATAGCGATCGCTATAGCGACAGCGCGTACACGCCGCGACTAGGGCTCGAGAGTCGACCTGGGCAGACTGACATCGCGAAGAACCACATTCAATCGCTTGTAATTCCTAGAAATGGGACTCACGTCGTGACTTCGCGACATTTTAGCGATCGTGCATAGCGAAAGCATAGCGCTCACGCCGTGATAGTTAAATCGCGACGTGACTCTTAGAAAAGAACTTTCACTAAATTAAGAAGTTTTTAAGACCTTGTTGTGAGAGCATGACTTTATAGCGATCACATCGCGAATCAGGGGAGTTCATAGCGATCGCTATAGCGACAGCGCGTACACGCCGCGACTAGGGCGCGAGAGTCGACCTGGGTATAGATGCCCAGTTTCTATAGAGTGATGAATTGTGAAAAGAAAAAGAATAGAGAGACGTTGTACGAGGTGACGTACTTGTGGAGCAACTCGGACTTCCTCAGGAAAAAACATGAAGTTCTGGTGTGGCCAACGGGATTTCTTGGCGGAAAAACATGAACTTCTTCTGGAGAAACTGGGATTTCTTCAGGAAAAAACAGGAAGTTTCTGTGGAGAAACTCGGATTTCTTCGGGAAAAAACATGAAGTTCTTGTGGAGCAAGTCGCATTTCTTCAGGAAAAAACATGACGTACTTGAGGAGCGACGATGGTTGACGATCACGCTCACGATCTACACCCTCATTTTGTAAACGTTCAACTAACGGCAATATAAATGCCAAAGTTTTACCCCATAAGGTCCTACAACAAAGATAGGGGTATAGGGTAAATTGTCTTACCAATGTCAGGTGCCGCTAATTCAAAGTTTCCACAAATTTTCTTTTTTCTTTTAACACGCATGTTCTGGTTCGCCAGGAGCTGTTGATCTCGGATATGACCTTATTTTTTCGATTTGACCGAGTCTTCACCGAGAAAAATCCAAAACACTAAGAGGTCCTAAAAAACGCTCGTTTTTGAGAGAAGCTCTAGAATTTCTTTATAAAATCTCGTAGCGCTTTGAAACAAATTTTTTCAGATTCTCCATGAGAAACTGAATCTAGAAAAGTGTCCTTTAAGACTCTCACCCCAAAACGAAGATTTTGGCAGAATCCTAAACAGGCACTCCTCAAATCCGGAGGACCTCAGTTTGCAAACCTATCTTGTTTTTTGTGTGAAGAGATAGATCCTTCATTCAGGAGTCAAAAGAACAGCCTTGACACGCGCAACAAAAGTATATATCGCTTTTTTCAAAATTCTTTTTCATTGCTGCGATATTTAAGCGTCTTTCAACAGTAGCGACATTTTCGACAAATCCTTCAAGTTATCAGCAAATATCTTGGCCACATATCGCTCTAGGAGGCTGAAAATATGGGTTCCCACGTTTAATCTGACGCTGAATCCGAATAAATTACCTCTAGAAAACTCCAAGATTTCCAAAGTGCTTTTCTAGAAAACCAGGTCTGTGGAAAGCACTTGAAAACCGACGATTTTGAAAATGGTCTAGACTGAAAGAGCATCGAATTCTGAGTAAAATGATACCTCTCCGGAGCTTATAGCATGTTTCTACGCAGAGAACAATAGGTAACACTGAAAAACACCTTTTCTGGACTCGATGTTTTTCGGCTTTTTCGGTGTTATCTATTTTTCTCTTCGTAGAAA